AGAAGCAACAGAACACACACTGTGAACAGAATGGCCTTCATCAAACAGAGAACCGGGCTCTCATTGCTCAGGTGAGCCCTCACCATGCAAACGGATCAAGACTTCCAACAAAGCTCAGCTCAAAGGACCGTGATGGGTAACCATTGTGCTGTAGACAAATCAAATCAGCAAGATTTGACTGATAAGCCTTCCCCAGAGATAAAAGACATTCTGGCTCTATAGAAGCCTGCTTATCTGGGGGATTTCTTTATTTTCAGCTTGTGCCATGTTCCTATTCATCAGGACTTGCAGCCACCAGTCTCTCACTTAGGTCAGGAGCAACTGATGTTCCCAACCACGATGCCTTGAAGGATTTTGTAGCTCCCAAGGCCTCCCTGGCTGTATAGATGCCCAGCTCTCTGGTAGGCTCAGTTACCTCCCTAACGCCATCTTGCATGATAGAGATCTCAAAGCAGCTAATGAAATTATCTTCTCTCTTTTATTCCTCAGTAACAACCACAAAATTAGATGAAATGACCCCTGCTTCTCTCCCTCATGGCCTTCTTTATTGCTTTCAACCCCAATTCTCTCTCCTTTACACAGATCTGAGACCCTGAAGACCCACAGGCCAATGGGATTAGTAATGATGACCTCGTCCTCTCCAGAGGGAGCTTCTGCTTCCCGGGTGGGGTCACCATCAGTTCAATCTTCATGCTTCAGAGACAACCCCTTTGAACAAGATCAAATGTTTTCCCACTCCGGCCTGATGTTCTGCTCATGGGCACAGCAGCCCCTTCTGACTCAGAGCATTAGCATCAACTCAGGCAGAAAGACCAAGGCAAGAAGGGTCAGAGTGGTTAATTGTCCACCAGCAAAGCATAGGCCCACTCAGCCAGCACCTGAGAGCACTAATCGTCCCCATAAAATGCAAAGTGCACTTTGAACCCAGGAACAAGGAAAAAGAGAACTAGTTTGGCTGCATGGGGAGTCACTGTTTGTTCTCTTTCTCAGAGTTCAGCCACCAAGGGAAAGGGGCTTGTCCGTGGACCCGGATGCAGAAGTGGGGTGGGCACCAGAGATGCCCATCAGGAAACCAAGTGAAGGATAGGCAAACATCATCAGGGTTCCTGGAAATGGACAAGGCATTCTCAAGTTAAGAACCATCTGAGAGAACCCCAGAGTTTCTGAAACTATTGAACAGAAAATTGATCTTTCTGCAGGGAAAAGAACTAAATAAAATATAGGGAATATATTCCTTCTCATTGAAGACAGTAGAAGAGAAAAGTTACTAGTTTGGGCTTTAGGGGCTTTTTCTGAGACAGTCTTGCTATGTAATCCAGGCTGCCTCCAACTTGCCCTGCTTCTGCCTCCTGAGAAAAGTCATGAACTAGTTATCCTAAGGGCCTCCTTCCAACTCAGGTGCACAATCTTAAAAGACCTTAAAGAACAAGAAGAGTCATTTCTTAACTGAAAGAAGTCATGAGAATGATTAAAGCAATACCCTAAGTCCTTTGTAAAACATAAGGCTTAATATAGTCCATTGAAATTCAACTTTTCCTGGAAGCTAGGATCTGTAAGTCTTTTAAATCAACAACAAAACCCCTACAGTGGGTAAGACAACCAGCCAAAAATCACAGCTGACAAGCTACCTGATCCAAGTGAAAAGTGGTTCCTAAATTATGCATTGATTGTGATCTGGAAATAGAGGAGAGCAGACGCTTCCCAGAGATGTCGATCAGGAAGCCAGCTCAGCCCTGCAACTTGAAAGGCTATTGGGGAGACAGCTTCCTCTGTAAGGAACTACAGCAGAAGAGTCAGGCAGGTTTCACACACACACACAGAATACATAAATAAATACATACATCATACATACATACATACATACATACATACATACTTAAAAAAAAAATATGAGACCTGGTTGGGGGAGGGAGAAAATTTAGGTATATATGTATATACACATGTATATATGTATTTATGTATTGGTAACTATTCCCAGGCATTTCAACAATAAAAGAAATTGTCAATCAGAGCCCATATGTTATGCAGGCCAAGACCAGTGGACTAATTGTTACATCCTCTGACTCTTGTTGCTTTGATTGTTCCCAAATGCCTATCCTCAATACAAGAGGCCCATACTACAGTGTCTTTAAATCAAGGCCAATGTACCAGGACAGCTATATTAAAAACACACAGACCCTGACCTACAATGTGTGGTGAGGTACTCACAGTCTCATCTTTAGAAAGCTTTCACCAAATGAAAGAATAGCAACATACTACATACACATCCAAAACATGTGTGACGAGTTCAGAAATTCTAAGGACAATAAGTCTACTTGGACTTTCTAATTAGGGTGGCATAAGGGAGTCAAGATTCAACCAGTGATGTATGGAGTGTACCTCCAGGTACCCTGGGTGCAAACCCTGTAAGGAAGAGATCCCAGTTGTTTGCAGTCTTGACCTACACCCTGTTGTTTCGGTTATTTCCTAACCTGCTAAGAATCATCATGAATAACAAGGGACCCTCTTCAAGCTAGACCCCTCCAAATGCTCACTGCTCATTTTGAATTGAACTCCCCATTTTCCAGGAAGGGTAAAACCAGACACCACAAATGCCCTGTACACAGCTTCTTTGGGGAGGCTAAGGCAGAAATACTTATCAATACCTCAAATTCCAAAGATGACCAAAACTCACTCATATTTTAACTTCTGTACCTTATCATTTTAATTCATTTTCTGGGTTTATTCTTCAAGTATGATAGGCAAACATTGACTGGAGACTAGAAACTTCTGGACAACACTGAAATCCTCATTCTACTCAGACCCTAGGAAACACTAAGATCATGAAGAGGTAAGCTGGGAGACAATTTGTGTCACTGTATCGGCTTTCACTGAATTCTCTCAGGCACTGTAGAGTAGAAGAGTCCGTGGTACACGCCTGCTCTGCCACAGCAGGCACTCACTGACCATGCAGCTCCACTAGGCAGTGTAAAGCATGCACAGAAATAAACATACAGCTCAACTGCTTCTCCGCTTCAGTGCAGCACACACCCAGCAAAGCGACTGGAAAAGCTGGACCACAGGCTGAGCAATGCAGGAGCAGAATGAGAAGGAAGAAGCTGAGAGCAAAACCTCAAGATCGTGTTCTTCTTCATGGCAACACCTTTTGGTTAGATTTAAGCAAGTACCATTCCTGAGTTTCAGTGAATTCAGTCACTCACAGCACCTGGAAGGACCCTGGCCCCATTCAGACTGGAATATTTGGGTGAACAATCACCTTGGAAGGCTCTACTCCCAATCCATAAGACAGAGCAGTCTTACCCCAAGCCAACCAGTATGTCTCAGGGTACGTAACACACTGAGAATTATGGGGGACCTGAAATGCTCTGACCTAAAACTTCCTATTACAATGATCTAAACCTAAGTAAGCTATTGTTTAAAACAAAGATTGGAGTCACTGAGGGACATTTTACTTCCTTTTAGGTGGCCAATAGGGGAGTCTATGGTTTGTCTCTTAGAGCCTATACATTTAGATTCATGTTCAAGTCTGTGGTGGTCTGGATGCCAATGGATGGCCTGACAGGGGCTTCAAGGGTCTTGGTTGACAGCAATTGTCTCTCCAAGGGCAGCCAAGTGGGCTGGCTGCTCACAGCCACAGATTACTCCATGACTTGGTGTCACTTACACTTTTCAAGGGCTGTACAAAATCCTGACTTCTTATCCTTTTCAACAGAGGTAAGAATCTAAACTCCTACTGATTTAACAAGATTATGGTAAGTTTTCAATTACATGGGGTAGTGTGAGCAAACATCCAAGTAATTAATCTACCAGGCACTCTACAAATTATTTAATTGGTTTAGAAACACATTATTACTTCTTGTGGTTGGGGCAGGAGGCTGTGTTTTAGTTTTCCTCAGACTATCATTTATTCATTTACTGAAAATATATTCCATGTCAGGAATCACGGTTGGTGGGACATGACAGCAAAAAGAAGGGCATCAGGTCACATGGGTATAACAGTGATTTATCTGCTGGACAGCTGGAAAAAGCCTATACTCCAATAAGTCTTTCTTTAGATACTTCGATTAATAATAGGTGGTATTTTTTTAAAAAAAATTATTGAATTTTTGTGGATTTCATACAATATATCTTAATCCAATTTAGAACCCCCCACCAGCACACACACCCCCAGCCCGCCCACAGGACTTCAATGCATTTTGTCACATATATTAAGGCCTATCAAGTCAAATTTGTGTGCCCAGATATCCCTCAATGCGAGTACATCCTCTGGAGCCTGTTCAGCCTATCTAGTATCACTCACTTAATATGTGATATTTTTGACTGGATCTTAAAAGAAGAAACTAAAGCATTGGTCCAAATGGAGGGGCAGTAATGAGAAGGCTAGCAATGCCCAGTAGAAAGCCAGTGTAGTAGACAGTTTTGGTGCCGTGACCAAACATCTGACAGATTCAACTTAAGAGAGGGAAGATTTACTTGGATTCATACTTTCTGAGACATCAGTCCACAGTCCTTGGCTCCACTGATTCTGGGCCCATGGTGAGGCAGAACACCATGGTGGCAGGAACATATGGTAGAAAAGGTCATACACATCATGGAAGACAGAAAGCAGAGAGAAGAAAATACAGGAAGGGACTAGGGCAAAATCTAGCCCTCAAGGACACACCTCCAGTGACTTACTTCCTCCAGCAAGGCCCTGCCTCCTTAAGTTCCCAGAACTTACCAAAATAGTGCCACCAGTTAAAAACCAAGTGTTCAACACATGAGCCTGATAGAGACATTTCACATTCAAATCATAACAGCCAAGCAGGTAAACATCACCAAGTAACTTATAATACAACAGGGCCTGAGGACCATTTTCCACTGTCTAAGAGGATGTGCCACCCTTCATTTGAGGGTTTTCTTTCCAGTGAATGAGAACTTGACATGGCTATCAGGATACCCACCTGCTCATTCTGGAACAACCTACCTATGCATGAGCAAACACAAGAACCAACTCTTACCTATATGAAATGTCTCTTAATGACATGCAGAAATTACAAGTCAGCTGTAAACTCAAGAGTCTGCTTCCCAGTTTTCCTGAAAAATAGAAAAAGCATGCCCATTAACTTGGAGCATCCTGTCTTAATGGTGTTAGTAAATACCTGAAAACCATGGCTCTGGTTTCTTGGTCTTAGAGCAGAAAACAGGGCCAGTGTCACCTGGCCAAGGGGTTGGATCAAAGAGACTAAGGCGAGAGTCCTGATTTTAGCTCAATATGAGATACTTGACCTGCCTATGTCTCAATTTCTTTCCCTGCAGTTATAATGATTAAGGCTCTAATATAGTGTATACACTCTTTATGACTAGAGACATGTAAATAAACATGAGTTGAGTTCCCTGTCCTAAGGGAGCTAATAGACCACAAAGACAGAGATGTAAACAGGTAGCAATCAAGACCCTCAATGTAGCAGATAAGAGAAAAGGTGAGGGAAATGCAAGCCTACACTTGAGCCTTTGCAGAGGTACCAAGTGATAAAGTTCACAGGATCCTCTCCAGCACACGTGAGGGCTAAGCTAAGGCCTGATAAGTGGGGTCTGGGAAACTAGAAGCAGGCCAAGAACATGTAGCAGAAGAACAGTGGTGACATGGGATGCTCTGGACGCTAAAACAGTGAATCACAACCAAAGCACTGGGGCCCACTGGAGTACTACAGATGCTGAAAGGCCTTGTAGCTATTTTAGGAGAGCTGGGACAGTATCTTAAATACAGGAAACAGAGCTGGCCGAGTCTATAAACCAGCAAAGACTTTGAGAGCAAGACCTCACACTCTTCAGGGCCTTTGAAGCCCATTTCTGTTTAAAAGAAAATGCACAAAGCTGGTTTTGTGGAGGCTTGGAGCAGTTCCTGAGACTGAAGACAAACTGGGTGGAGAGGCCCAATTCATGCCCAGTATGGGGAGTGGTACTGTAGAGGGATTTCATCTTCCCAAGCAAAGTAACCCCTGTTGTTTTGGGAACTTGCAGTTAGAGCAAGGTGGATACAACATCTCTCCCTCTCCATGCATTCCCTTCCACCTTGGTACAGAATCTGAGCACTCTGGGAAATAAACAATGAGGGCATCCAGGAAGGCTCTACCTGGTTTTATCAGCAGGTCAAGTTTTTTTTATGGGGTGTGGAACAAATCCTATGGTTACAAAGACACCAAAGCCCAGCAGCTACCAAGTACTTCAGGACTGAGAAGAGCCAAGGCTAGCTGTCTCAGTTTGTGAATTTCTACCATCTCTCACCTATGACAAAAACCAGGTTCCTGTAAAGCACAGGCAAATTCCCACATCCTTGTTTTCTTGCTTTTCTTCACAAGGAGGGACATGGGATCCAAAGCATAACAGCATTCAGATCAACACTGATCATGAAGCGAATGGATATGGATACATACTCAGCTTCCACGGGGCGGGCCCCTCCCATCATGATTACTTGAGTAGCAGAGCTGACAGACCTCACTACATGGCACAGATCCATAGGTGGGACAGCAACAGTGAGGATGCCCAGGGAAGATCAAGTAATGCTGCCAAAATCCTGATTCCCTGCAGATGGCTGTGACTCTCCTGCCCCCATCACTGTGGTACCCACACTCCTTGCTAAACCTCCTAATCCCATGGCAATGACCATTTCCCACTTCGGATGCTTCACATGATGACTTGGCCTCTAGGGTGCAGCTGTAATGGATCCTGCATCTGTAGAAGTAGAGGTTGTGTTGATATGATGCCATGGAAAGCTGCAACCTTAATAGCCCTAGTCATTTAGACCAGGATCCACTGGTCCATGGAGGGTGGGGGCCCCTGTGCCCATTTTTGTCTACCCATTACTTAGGATGTTGATGCTCATTACCTCTAGGGTCTGAGCCAAAGTAGGGAAGGGGGTGGGCTAACTCAACAATGAGAGGTCTTTGAGGGCCTGCAAAGGCCCAGTGCTTACAGCCCAGTATCTCTGAGAATGTCCCCACCCCCTATCCCAGGAAGCACTTAGTAATCAGTGTCTAAGAAATGTTCCTAAAAATAAAGGCTTCAAGGAACTGACTTCTAACACTGCTGACAAAGGACTGTGATTCTGTACCAATCAAGATAATGGCCTCTCTGTGAGGACAAAAGCATGTCAGGAGGAAAAGGGAAAGCAGATCCACTGGGGCAGGGACAGCCCTTCACTACCAAGAGAAAAACAGGTAAGGCTGGCCCAGAGCCTGGCCAACATCACAGGCTCTGCCTGATCATAAAAACCTCCAGAAGTTTTGTTTATAAAGTGTGGATTCTCAGTATCCAATCCAAAACTATAAGTCAGAACCCCAGGGGAGGGCCTGGGAATGCAAATACCTAGCCAACACCCAGCAGAGCGCCCAGCACACTTCAGAATAAAGCTCCAAATGAAACAATTGGCAATTTTTTAAAAGCTTTGTAAGCACATATCTTCAAAGTTACAGGGTGTGTGGGAAAATGCAGGTTTAATTGAAGGAAGTTAGAGCCGTCTTTATCTAAACTTATGGAATATACCAGGCATGTAACAAGGCAATCAACATAACTATAACTAAGCCAACCCCCATCTCCATAGCCATATTATGACACAAAGACCCCAACCTCCCCCGCCCCAGGACAATTCCTGCTACATAGGGCAGTAGGGAAGCACCAAGGCCTTCCGTCTCATCCCAGCAGAGGCCACCTTTAAGAGCATGCCAACACCAGACGCCATAGGATCCACTGACTTTGCCAGCTCATTCCCATCCAGCCTCAAGTGAGGCCTTGCTCCTCTATATGTGCCCCACAGGGTAAGCAGTAGTGCTGGAAAAAGCTTGCTAGAGATGCATAATCTCAGACCCCACAGGCCCTGCTCAGTCAAACTATTTCAACAGGACTCCAGGTGATGCTGAGAAGCCCTGCATGAAGGGATGGGAGTGCCACTGTGAGGTTTTACTTCACCTGTGGAACATCTGCCTACCCTCTTCTCTCACATGTTCTTCAATTCAGGCCTGTCAGCCCTGCTTTGTTTCCGGCCAAATCACCACCAGCAGGGCCCATTGACTAGCTGACACTCCAAGGCCCAACTGTTAGGGAGTCAAAAGGAGGCAGGAAGGCCAACTTGTCTGTCACATTCTCATTTGGCTCTAACATCTCCCTCCCTTAGGAGGCAGGAATACAGACCCATGACCATAAATCAGTAGAGACAATTCAAAGTCAAACAGTGCCATGGAATGCTGGGTCTCTAGGTTCTAGCACAATGTTAATGAGGTCGAGGTCACGAGTATGATTAACTTCCTCTGTATCTTGGCACAGACTCCAGCCCTTTACCCTCTGGCTGCTTGCAAAGGCTGATGTCCCCTGGGTTACTAAAAGGGGTTGAGGGGAATGACAGGGGGAGTCTGGGCAGAATAGCATCAGTGAAGGCCTCTCAGAGGACCTCAATGACCAATGAGCAAAATGCACTGAAAGCTACATAAGGCCCAGAGGGCAGGCTGGCTTGAAAGATGATCAGGTCAGATCAATTATCCACTCAGGACAGACTCGCCAGAACTAAGAAAACTGAAATTTTACAAAAAAATGGGAAGTCTTGTGGCCAAGATTTTTATCTT